TGCAGCAAGAGCGACTTTCAGGAGCCGAATGAAAGAAAGTGCTGAGAATATTCCAAAGTGGAGAGTGTAACGGAATGTTTTTAAAACAAGCAAATTACCAGCTCTAGCTGGAAACGGCTGAAATCAGGTCACAGTGACTGCAAAAATATGCTTCTCTCCCTTTAAAGGGGAGATTCAGTGAGGAGCCTGGAAGCCACGGTTCCTCTGGGAGCTCAGGAGGAATGAAGGCTCGCCCACCACACCCAAGCGTAGCTCCCTCACAGGCCCGACTCATGGCTCTGATGCTCCAGAGTGCAGCTTGAGAGGCACCTGATAAAAGCCAAGCACTGATGGGTGATGGGTGACCCCTGCAGGGTTCCAGCCCCAGAGGAGACCAGGGTAGAGGCAGTGCCGGGCTTTGTCCCCTCCCCCTTTAGTCCCCTGGGGGCATCGGGTCCAGGGAAGGGACATCCTAGCGGGAGAAGCACAAACAGCCCCGGAACTTGCTGTGCTTCTGTATGGCTCCCACCCATCTCATATCTGAAGGGAAGGGGAAGGGTACGAAGTGACCAGAGGACAGAGACGTAAACTCAGGACTTGTGGGCCGGGTCCTCTTGTCCTGTAGTTCCCGTTACAGCACTGAAAAGTGAAGGGCCATTTAATACCACCCTGGACTACAGAGAAAAACGAAAGGAAGTCTAAGGCACCCGAGCAGAGGCCGAGGCTGACAAGAGCCCCTGACAGGACAAACTTAGCAGTGGGGCAGGAAGGAGGACACTGTATTAGCCCCAGGGCTGAGAGCAAAGAAGTGACAAATGACTAGGGTTGATGGCAGTGCCTTGTCACCGATAGCAGGGAAGCCCGGGCTTTACAGCTGAGGGATGGCGGAGTCCTGACTACTAGCAGGGAGGTATTCGGAGACAAGGCTGAGAAGGTGATTGATGTGAGAAGAGGGCGTGGGGGCGGGACCCCCGTTAGTGCCTCCCCAGAAGAGAGCAGGTCTAGCTCTCTGAGACATAAGGACACTCAACAATGTGCTGTCCGAGATCTGGAAGCAGACTACCATGTGCCGGCTCCTGACCCCGGGCCCCCAGATTCCCCATGGGAAGACAAGCTCCTGTAGTCTATGTCCCTGACACGGGGCGTCTCATCACGGCAGTCAGAATGAACTAAGACCCTTGCCTTCCGCCACACATACATTTGGCCTTTTAGAGAATAAAGGGGTGAATGTGAACAGCAGGATGACAAAGAGCTCACGGAAGAGGATGTGGGGGGCACTCTGAACCTGCGGGGAGAGTCTGAAGATCCTAAGGACAGGGGATGAGCACATGTGAACACGCTCACACACGTTTACAAGCGCAGGTCCGAGCAGAGATAGGGTCCCTGGGGTAAGCTGGCTACCTAGACTAGCTGGAAGTAGCAATTCATATATGATATATCAGGCTATGTGTGTGTGTGTGTGTGTGTGTGTGCAAAATATTATATACATCATTTACTATAAATTAGAGTGAGCTAGATGATACAAAGCCCAGCCTCTATACACATGTACACACGTGAAAGTGTGTGTACTCCCACATTCACATCTACTTCCACACATGCAAACGTATGTACGTACACACACACACACACACACACACACACACACACACACCACACACACCACATACATAGGAGAAACAGAGAAATCCACAAAAGGTTCGCTCTATGTTTGAGGGATCAGACAAATTAATATCACACAACCTGCCAGGGTATCAAGGAAGAAGGGCACGGGGCCATCACTCAGGCTCCTGAAGCAGGCTTAGGCTGGCACAAAAACCAGGTCTGTGAAGAGGAGCACCTGCCCCTGCGGGGCAGAAATTCCATCACTCCTTGAGAACGCTGCTTCAAGGCAGGTGCGGGAGAATGGAGAGTCAAGGCTAGCCTGGGCTACAAAAGGAGATAGACTCTTAAAAAAAAAACCCAACCAAACAAAAACGGTGATTTTCTTGGTTTTGTTTTGTTCAAAATAGGGTTTCTCTTTGTAGCCCCCTGGCTGTCCTGAAACTCGCTCTGTAGACCAGGCTGGCCATGAACTCAGAGATCCACCTGATCTTCCTCCCTGGTAACAATAATGGGGCACACTTTTAATCTCAGCACTCAGGAGGCAGAGGTAGGCAGATCTCTGTGAATTCAAGGCCAGCCTGATCTATAGTGCAAGTTCTAGGACAACCAAGGCTACAAAGAGAAAGCTGTCTCAAGAAAAAAAGAAGGAAAATAGATTTATTTATTTAGTGTGTGTATATAAATGTGTGCACGCCACGGCACACATGTAAGCTAGGGGACAACTTGAAGGAGCTGGTCCTCTTCTTTCACCACGTGGATTCTGGGGATCAGACTTGGGTCATTAGGCAGCAAGTGCCTTTTCCTGCTGAGTCATCTTGCAGGCCCCAGGTGTCATTCCCCGCCCCTTAATGTGTATGTTTATGTGCTTGAGTAGACATATGTGCACCACGTGCATGCAGGAGCCCACAGAAGCCAGAAGAAAGCATTGGATCCCCTGGAACTGGAGTTACAGATGGTTATTAGCTGCCGTGAGGGTGCAGGGAACCAAACCCAGTCCTCTGCAGGAGCAGTAAGAATGCTTAACTGTTGAGTCAACGCTAGCCTTCCACCACACTTTTTAACTTAAAGGATCTGCTATGGTTTGGGTTCGTCCCCAAAAGCTCAAGTGTTGGAATCTCCATCACCAGAGTCACAGGCTGATGGCATTTGGGGAGGCAGCTGGGGTCAGGTGAGGTAAGGTGTAAGCGGGGCACTCTATACTAGGGTATTAGTGGCTTCACAGAGGGGAAAGACACAGGTTAGCAAGCTGCTCGGTCCCCCATGTGGCCCTCACCGGAGGCTGACACAGCCTTCTGCTGACACCTCTAAAACTTCTGAAAAAAAATAAAAAATCCTGTTCCCTGCAAACTACCCCGTATCAGGCACTATGAGCTACAACGCAAAAATGAACCAAAACTTGTTGTGAATGACAACCATGCTGGCGGTCTTGGAAGCACACCCTGCACCTGCAGGCCAGTGTGCTTCAGGTCACTCGGGATTCTGTCAGGGTAAGCAGCCTCGGGGGAGCCACAAGCACTTATAATGTTGGCCCCTTAACCTCAGAAAGAAAAGCTGAAATTGTGAGAGAAAAGAAGGGAGAAATGGGGATTGAAATGGTAGGAAAACCACTGAGAGGCCATGACTTTTTGTTGGGGGTCAACCAGAAGGCCCAAAATGACCGTGCCCTCTCCTGAGGACACGGGCCAGTGCAGGGGGGTGTGCACACAGTTCGGTCCTGCTCGGCGAGAGAGAAGCTTTGCTATTGTCGTTTTTTTTTTTTTTTTTTTTTTTGAGGAGAATGTGCTTTTAAGGAGTTGCATATGAATGATGCCAACTTGACAAAAGGAAGACCTCTAGAGTTCCTGTGTCAACTCTGTCAGAACAAACAGTGTTCTGGATGTTTCCATGAGGGTGTATAGGGATGAGGCTAACCGTTAAATCTGACCTTGAATATGGCCCTTCTTAATGGATGGGTCTCGTCTAGTCAATCAAAGCAATGAAAGGCTGCTATCCTTTAATAGATGTGGGCTCTGAGCTTGACGTGAAGCCTACCTTGATGGCGTTGGACCTCCTGGCCTCCATATTCCTGTGGGCCAAGCTCTTTCACTATATGCAGGATATCCTGTTGGGTGTCCCTAGAGCCCTGACTTACACAGGGTCCTCTTGGGCAGCTACACATCTTGGAGTTCCACAGGAAAGTAATTCACAGTTGTGGCAGTGGGTACCCCAGGTAAATCATGGGGGCACCCACACAGGTGCTGGCCCATGCCTGGGTCACTGCTGGGAGAACACTGACCAGGTGAGTAAGAAGGAATCACAGCAACAGCCAGCGAGCTGTCATGTAAAAAAATAAACACTTCAAATATTTCTTTATCATACTCTAAATTTTCTAAAAACTTATTTTATATGTGTGTGTTTTGCCTGAACACACACACACGCACGCACGCACGCACGCACACATGCATGTTTGATGCCCACGGAGACCAGAAGACTGAGTCAATTCCTCTGGAGCCACAGTTACAACAGTTGTGAGACAGATTGTGGGTCCTGGGAACTGAACTGGGTCCTCTGTAAGAGCGGTAAATGCCCTTAGTTGCTGAGCCATTTTTCTAGTTCCCGGTATACTTTAAGGGGATAGAA